ACAGAGGGACAGGATCCACACCGAGCAGGTGTTACCCCCTGAGCAGCTTGCCTATATGTATCCACCAGGAGGTGAGAGGGGAGTAGTGGGGAAGGTTCAGGGTCTTCACCCTACTTATAGATACCTGAATAGGATGTTCAGGAAGACTATTGACTGCAAGGGTGGAGACAAGGGCAACATTGCAGATTACTCCAGGAACCTACTCCATAGGATGGCACCTGAGGCTCGTCCCTTAAGCGTGTTTGACTTCATATGGTCAGAGATCAGGAGTGTGGGAGAGAGGCCCCTCAAGGGCTGTGATTTTGCTCTTTATATCATGCATATGATTGAGCAGGTGACAGGGCACACGTTCGAGTATGACAAGATTCACAAGGCCCTGAAGATTGTTGCAGATCTGCCTAAGACAGGATTACCTCCAGCAGGACCAGGAGGAGCAGCAGCAGCAGCACCAGAGGCGGATGCACCTGGGAGTGGTGCACCAGCAGGAGCTTCACCTTCACCACGTGCTCCTTCATGTTCTACTTCACACCATGGCAGTCCTCCCTCGCCTATCCGCAGGCTTTTCAACTCCATATTTGGGATGTGCAGAGACATCCAGACCAGGCAGTAGAAGGAGAGGGAGGCTAGGAGGAAGGACACTTGAACTTTGAAGCAAATTGCTTCTAATCTTGAGCTTGATCCTCCTAGATCTCCTCTATCAGATGAGGCAGCTAGTGAGCCTGAGACTGAGGAGCAGCAGCAGGCCAGATATGATAGAGAGTATGTTGAGTTCATTCAGCGACAGCAGCAGCAGCAGGCACTAGAGCACCCTGACACTCTTCCACTTCAGGCTCGTGTACCTACTCACTCTCAGCCACGTCCTAGTACCGCAGACGAGTATGCTACAGATTGGTGGAGTGACCTCACAGGTGGTGGCGGCTACTACGGGTCTAGTGGCTATGACCCGTCCGGCGCAGGTGGTTCTCGTCCAGCTAGTGTTACACGTTCAGATGATGAAGATGCTGGGAGAGATGATGATGATGATGATGCTGAGTGATGCCAGAGATCAGATACAGCTTGCAGCCCCTTTTGTCCTTAGTTTGTCATTGTTGGACCTTTGTGGTGATAGATGACAAAGGGGGAGAGAGACTGATTAAAGCTTCGGGATTTTTGTTTTATTTGCTTATCTTTGTACCTGAAGATATGTACTGTAGGCTGTAGTTTTTGTTCATCAGCTTCATTGATGTATCTTGAGTTTGAGATTGCATTGTATCATGTAAGAGATGAGACTCACTTATGCTTTATCTATGGATCTATTGAGATATGATCTTTATCATCTGTGGCTTGTGGACTTGAGAAAATGTGTAATGAGTGCTATGTGTGGCATACATGTGTTGTATTTATTTTTCATAAGGTCTATGCATGATAGAATAAAAATATTTGATGTGATGTCTTTATATTTATTCTTGTGTGATATATCCTGTCATATGCATCACAATTCTATTTTGTCACACACACATGCACCCCACGGATGCAATGATTTAGGGGGAGTCTCCTATATGTTTTAGTATGTGCAATTGACAAGTTGAGGTCATTTTATGAATTCCAATCACAAGCACATATTAAGGGGAGCCTCTTACAAATCATTGAACCCAAAAACTTAAATGTTTATATTCTTTTGTAAGCTTTAATCAAGTTGTCATCAATCACCAAAAAGGGGGAGATTGAAAGTGCATCTAGCCCTTTAGTGGATTTTGGATGATTGAATGACAACGTGATTAAAGATCTAACCCGTTTGCTAAGTGTGGACAGGTGATAGGTTATCTCACAGGTACTTAATGAAAGCCAAAATGATGTGTTGTTGTATAAACAATCTAGTTTAAGCACAAGACAACAATGCAAATGGAATTCATACAAAGGCTTGTTTATTGTGGGATTTCCATGTACTATGTAAAAGCAAGCTTGTGAGAATTAATTAATGAGACATAAGGGATTGAATATGGAATGGTCTCATATTTGAAGCTTGCTAAATTGAAATGAAAAAGACAACAATACAAATGAATGGATGATTCAACACAAGATGTGACTTGATGGCTTGAGATGGTGAAGATAGCAAGGAAAGGCTTCGAGGTACTAAGCAAGGGTGAAGGGCAAGCGACGGCTTGGCGGCCGAAGAACCTAGCTAGGGTGAAGAAGAAAGTACTTGCATTTAGTTGAGGTACTAATCAAGCTACGATGGTCATATTGATGTGAAGGATCAAATCACTATTGGAGTGTTTGATAGAAGTGACTTGATACATTTGGGATTATTCAAATTTGATGAATGGAATCAAGTCACATGCTCAAGATGGCTATGCTCTAGTGAAAAAGATCAATATCAACATGTTGGCGCCCTTACTTGATGAAGATTGGAATACACGGCTTCGGTTCAAAAAGAGCAACTCAAAAGGTTTAAATTCGTTATACTTTTTAAATTTGAGTAAATAGGAATGCCGTACTATTAAGAGGGATGCATCATGTTGATAGATAATGTTTCATAAGTGCTCAAGCCAACCCATGTGAGATTTGAGTGTTTGAGAGACAAAAGAGCTAACTGACTTGTTGCTGGTCTGGCTATACCGGACGTGTCCGGTATGCATACCGGACGTGTCCGGTATTCACCCAGCAGTTGTAAAATTGTTGTTCTCAGGTTGGTTTGTCGGGAGTTTCGACGTATGTCGGGAGTTCCGACGGTCGGAAGTTCCGGCAATGGTCGGGAGTTCCGACGACTCACAATTTAAATAATTTGGAGAGTTTACTGTCCATGTCATACCGGACGTGTCCGGTATGGACGACCAGAGGCCAACGGCTAGTTTTCCAAAGCCTTGAGGGTCGGGAGTTCCGACGTAAGTCGGGAGTTCCGACGGTTGGGAGTTCCGGCATGCATCGGGAGTTCCGACACCTCACTAACTTTAACTCAGTTACATGGTTTTCAAATTTGCTAAGGATCGGGAGTTCCGACGTGAGTCGGGAGTTCCGGCGGTCGGGAGTTCCGGCATTCATCGGGAGTTCCGACGCCTCACAACTTCACTGTAACTTAGTTACCGTTGGGGCAGTATAAGTAATACCGGACGTGTCCGGTATGTATACCGGACGTGTCCGGTATTGCAACGGCTATAAAACGGCTAGTTTTTCAAGGGGGATATAAATACCCCCAAGCCTCCACCTTTGGAGGCTGCTGATTCTGCTGAGATAGACACACGTTTTTGAGCCTTGCCAACTCTCCTAAACCCTCTCTTAGTGAGTGTGTGATCCAAATTGCAAAATTAATTTGTGGGTTAAGAGAGAATTCGAAAAAGAGAGCAAGCCACCACTTGAACACTTGTGCATATTGTCAATCTCGTGATTCGCATTTGTTACTCTTAGACTCTTCGGTCCTAGACGGCTAGGCGTCGCCGGAGAGCAACCGAGAGATTGTGGTTGCTTCGGAAAGTTTGTAACGGTCGATTCCGCCGCCTCGGAATCATTTAGTGGAAGGAGGAAAAGGAGTTGGAAAAGACTCCGGCTAGAGTGACCTTCATGGTATCCTCTAAGGCTGACCTTCGCTGGGTCACCCGCAGCCCCCTCAACGGAGAGTAGGACTCGAACGAGTCCGAACTTCGGTAAAACAAATATCGTGTCTCAATTCGCATTTCATTTGATATTTGTGTTGCTCTAGCTATTCTGCAGGTTCTCTGTGTATATTACTATCTCTAATAGTTTCCTGCAGTTTGGATTGAAGATAGAGATCAAAATGAGCAAGTTCAGGGCTGTTCCACTGAAGTCGTGAATACCGGACACGTCCGGTATTAGCCCCTGCGCCAAACTGAATTGTGTTGTGTTCTAACTCTTTGGTTGCAGGCGTTTGGCTCCTAGATTCATTTAGTATCTTTTATATACTCTGTGGCTAACTTGTGAGGGGTGGTACTACTCTTTATTTGGAGTTTTCATTTTGGAAACTCTCTTTACTAATCGTTTCTGCATTTAAAGGTGTTAATTTTCAAAAACGCCTATTCACCTCCCTCTAGGCGGCATCCTAGGTCCTTTCAGTTTGTTAAGACGGTTTGAAGTAGTTTAAGGGTTAGACGAATGTATGGTTTATAGGTGAAGGGTGTGGTAGACAACCGCCAATAGTTAGCTGGTTAAGGGGAGTTTTTTTCTACATGTAGAGCAGTCCCAAAAGTAAACTGATAAATCCGAGGTCAATCACAATATTTGAGGCCACAAATTTGGGTGGCACTTCTATACGGTAAAAACTAGCTCTACAACATATCAAGTATGTCATCAACTTATCAAAGGACTCATGTATGCTTCAAATATGCCAAATCAACATATGCCATCTACTTTGAGGAAACTCATTTAATTTGACCAAATGGCACCAATAGTTAACAATACAGCAGCCATTGAACTCATCCGTCATGAAAATTACCAAACAAATCACCACATAACTCATAAGCAATACAACAACAACAGCCTTGGGGGTATTTATCGACCTACATGTGAGAAGCTTGTTCTTATCGCAATATCATATAACAAAAACATAGTGAATTCATCTCCGTACACGATCTATCTAAAACTTAACCATGTGTGTGAGATTGTGGTTTTAAACAGTTGATGAAGGGTGTGTATTGTCCAATACTACAGGCGAAGGTTGAAAATCGGACTTTAACAAGAAGTAAATGCTGTGTAAAGTAAATTTTGCCCTCTATAAAAGCATAGCAGTCATGCAATGAAGAATACCATTATGCAAAGCTTCACACATTCTCATTATTCGCTAAAAAAAACATTGATTCTACCATCCACATTCAGAAACAAAACATTGCCGGCTACAAAGAGAAAATAGCCAAGAGAGGATCAAATTCGTGAGGACGGCCATATACAACCGTCGCTCCTATCTAAAATGTTTTTTTCCAAAAACTGTAAGCGCATCCGAGGGCTCAATTCTCTTGTTTCTACAAAAATAAATAAAAAGAAACAAAAGTGGCAGAACGTCTCATCCGAAATCACACGGCGTTGGGGCCGGTGGGGATGGGCTGGTACCCATCGTGGCGGTCAGACGAGACACCACTGCCGGAATCGACAGGGATGAGCTTCAGGACGGCGCCGATCACCAGGCTGACCGAGCCGATGAGCACGCTGGCGAGCCAGAGCCTCCCGCTGAGGTGCACCGTGCTCGCGAAAGTCCCCAGGAGCTCCACGATGATCACCTGGAACGCGGCGGTGGCGCCAGCGACCGCCGAGAAGATCCAGCTGCTGAAGATGCCGCTGAACACGTTGATCTTCTCCATCTCCCGGCTGTTCACCTCGTTGAACACCTGTAAACATTCAGAGAGCGTGGATGATGTAATCAGTCTCCTAAAAATTCAGACTTTGCTATATATAAGCTAGGGTCAGCTTCTATATGTACCTGGCAGAACACGAAGGTGTTGAATATGAACGTGTTGAGCTGGGTGTCGGATAGATTGCCGACGCCGTTCAGCCGGAGGAGGCTCTTGCCCTTGAAGATGAGGACGCCGAGCACGGCGAGCTGGTAGATGCTCTGGCCGACGATGTTCCGCCACATCACCTTGGTGATGAAGTTGTCGCCTCGGCCGACCGGCGGCCGCTGCATCATCGTGTCGTTCGGGGGCTCCGTCGCCAGCGCCAGGGCGCCCAGGGTGTCCATGATCAGGTTCACCCACAGCAGTTGCACGATGGTCAGAGGGGCGCTTCCTGAATCATTGATTTGTTCATCAGTCGTGTGTCACCCTGAGAGCTCGGCTATCTGACGAGAAAATGAGGAATGAGGAATGGCTGCATGCGCACCTGTGAAGGATGCAGAGACGAAGTTCACCATCAGGGCGACGACGTTCACCGTGAGCTGGAACTGCACGAACTTCTGGATGTTGATGTAGACCGACCGGCCCCATTTGGCGACGTTGATGATGGTCGAGAAGTTGTCGTCCATGATGATCACGTCGGCGTTCTCCTTGGCGACCTGACAGCAGTTATTGCAAGCGTGAAGCAGTTGTCGTCAGGAAGACATGACATGAACAAGGGTACTACTACTACAAACCTCTGTTCCTGCAATGCCCATGGCGAGGCCGATGTCAGCCTCGTGCAACGCCGGCGCGTCGTTGGTGCCGTCGCCGGTCACCGCCACCACCTCGTTGAACATGCCCCTCAGGTTCGTCACCAGCGTGTGCTTGTCCAGTGGCAACGACCGAGCCATCACCTGCAGAAACAGACGACAAACCAATCGCGTCAGCTTTCACCATGCAAAAAAACTCGCTCTTCGGAGAAGACGACAATGTAGCTGTACGTGCCTGGATTTTGGGTATGAGCTCTCTCATCTCGTTGGGGCTCTTGGCCCGGAACTCGGGGCCCTCGATGGCGATGCCGTCGTCGGTGAGGATGCCGCACTCCCTCGCGATCGCCTTAGCAGTGTTGATGTTGTCGCCGGTGACCATGCGGACGTTGATGCCCGCGTCATGGCATGTCTTCACGGCCTCCCTCACGCCAGAACGGAGCGGGTCCTTGATGCCGAACACCGTGATGAGCGTGTACCCGTCGCCAGGGACGTCGCTGGCGCCGCCGACGTCCTGGTACGCCAGGCAGAGCGTGCGCAGCGCCTCGCACGCAAACGCATCGATGGCGCTGGCCACGCGCTTCGCCTTCGCGTCCGTGAGCTTCTCCACGCTGCCAGTGCCGTCGATGACGGAGCTGCACCGGCTCAGGACCACCTCGGACGCGCCCTTGAGGAACGCGCGCGGGTGGCCGGCGGCGTTCGGGGACGCGATGACCACGGCCATCGTCTTCTTTACCGAGTTGAATGGCTCCACCTTGAGCTTCTTGGCGCCGGCGTGCTCCACCTTGGTGTACTTCTCCACCTCGAGGCCGAACTCAAGGATGGCCGTCTCGGTGGGCGTGCCCATGACGCTAGTCCTTCCGTCCTTGCTCGTGACGACCTCCGAGCCGGAGCAGTGGAAGACGCCCTCGAGCAGCACCCGCGTGAAGTTCTCCGACACCGACGACCGGAGCTCGTCGAAGCCCTTGGCGGTGCTCACCGTCTGCGCCGCCCCGGACGCCCAGACCTTCTCGACGACCATGTGGTTCGTGGTGAGCGTGCCGGTCTTGTCCGTGCAGATGCAGCTCGCCGATCCCATGGTCTCGCACGCCGAGAGGTGCCTGACGAGCGCGCGCTCCTGCATGAGCTTCTTCATGGCGAACGCCAGGCTGAGCGTGACGGCGAGCGGCAGCCCCTCGGGCACGGCGACGACGACGATGGTGACGGCGACGGCGAAGAAGTTGAGCACCGAGAGCGCATCCTCTCCCCTCCACCGCAGCAGCCCGCCGGGCGCGTTCGCCTTGCCCACCAGGAACCGCGCCATGAGCACGGTGAACGTGAGCACCGCGAACGCAAGCCCGATCTTGCCGATGATGGTGGCCACGCCGTTGAGCTTGACCTGGAGCGGCGTCTCGTCCTCGCCGCCCTGGCTTAGCGTCTCCATCAGGTTCCCCCACTCCGTGCGCATCCCGACCGCGGTGACCAGCATCCGCGCTGAGCCTTCCTGCACCTTGGTCCCGCCGAGCAGGAACGGGTTGGCGCTGGATGGGTGCACTGGCTCGCTCTCGCTGGACAGGCTCGACTCATCGACCACAAGCGAGTAGCCGTCGATGTACAGGCCGTCCGCCGTCACCTGGTCGCCGATGGATAGGTGGACGATGTCCCCGACGATGATGTCGTAGATGGACACCTTCTGGCGGTAGCCGTCGCGGGTGACCTGCATGTCGATCTTCTTCTTCTCCCTGTCCAGGTCCAGGAACTGCAGCGACTACTTGTAGTCGCTGGCCGCGGTGATCATGACCACGAGGAAGATGGTGAGCATGATGCCGAGGCCGTTGTACATCCCGCTGGCCCACCCCTCGGTGGCGAGCCCGATGACGACGGAGATGAACGCGCAGAAGGCGAGCAGCAGGAGCGTCATGTCCTGGCTGGCGTCCCACAGGAACATCCAGAACGTCCTCGGCGGCTTCTCGGTGTACTTGTTGGCGCCGTAGACCTCCGCCCGGACGCCCGCCTCGTCCGACTTGACGCCGTCGGCGAGGGAGACGTTCACCTTCCGCGCGATGCCGTCGACGCCCCTGTGGTGCCTCAGGCTCTTGCCGTCGTGGTTGCGAACCACGGTGGCCAGCTCCTCCGCGCTCACGGAGAAGCCGCATTGCCGCGCCATCTCCGGCAACGGGTGCTCCGTCTTGCGGGCGGCTACACATGATTCCACAGCCACCATCGACATTGTTAGGACTTCAAGATCAAAGGAAGCAGCAGATCGATTGATCCAACCAGAAATTTAATGCAGTGCAGTGCTTAAAGGATAGGATGAGCTAGTGTCGTGTACCATCGATGAACTGCAGCGCAGCCTTCTGCACGTAGAGTGCAACACGAAGCTTCTCCTGTGAATCAGAAAGAAACATTTTTCAGTGCTTTGGGTTGGGTATGAACAAAATTCAACATGCTAATTGATTGAAAAGGTAATTATACTGATAAAAAAGGTTAATTGTTCTGTTATGCTGCTTTAATTTGAATCAGTAAAACTTCATTCGATCAGTAGCATGGAGAAGAACTTTGACCAAGCATATTCGTTCAAGTACTGCCTTTTCATGTTCATGTAAGTTTGTCTGATAAATTGACCTGAAAATAAATAAACATTAAATGAAGCTTCTCCTTTTGCCTGCTTAGGCTTTACAAAATTACTTACTCCGTACAGATAAAAAGGATACTTTGACAACAATTAGTTGCTGTTTTATGTTCTCACTTCGGAAATATCGTATAAACTTGTTAATATATATATGGAGTATATTCTAACTATGAAGCGCACGCATACAGATAGAACAAGACACAACAGTCCTATTAGTTAGTCTTGAGAAATTGAAGACCTGACAATTAAGCTAGCTTGACTCTATCTTGTAGGTTACACACAAAGGTAAGACAACCTGTGAAATAACTACTGGAAATTATCGGTTACTTCAAGGACAGAGCATTTGCTGTCGCTGCTTCTGAATTAAACGGACCTGTGAAATAACCGATAAGACAACCTGTGAAATAAACGGACCTGCACATTTCCAGTAGTTATTTCAAGGACAGAGCATTTGCTGTCGCTGCTTCTGAATTGGACATTTTAAGTTGACCATTGACCAACTCTTCACAGTCACATAACAGAAGTCAAAATTTAAAAACAGATACTCTATAGTTGGTCTCGGTGGTGTGTAATATCAACATCATCTAACATTTGATATTTACTAGTGTAATTTTCCGATGTACTTTAAACCTGCACGATTAAATGACAAAAAAAATGTGCAGGTCCGTTTTACGCAGGGAAAAAATAGCTAGAGCCTCAAACACTTGACTTATCCACCAGAGAAAAGCGACGCAACTACCACCTCCGTCCCCCATAAAGATGGGGTTCTAGGTTTAGATCAAGTCAAACTTTCTGAAATCGGACTAAATTTATACAAAACATTTTAACCCCAAATATGTACGCTATACATTACACGATGAATCTATTTATAAACATTTGATATGATACATAATATTATTAATAATAAACATTTGATATGATACATAAAATTATTATTATTTTATATATTTGATCAAGATTAAGATAAATTGACTCAGTAGCCAGAGAGTGACTCGTATCATATCTGTTATATGCATTGTGACAGAAAAAAAAATGTTGTTGTGCATCCAGGATATACCACAAGATTTGTCTCAACATATTTTTTGTGAATTGTTCTCTCAAAAAAACAGATTTTTTTGTGAATCGTTTTCTGACAACACACCTAATGGACGAACACATTTTTGTATTGGTCGTATCATTGACTCTACTGGTGTATAACAAACTACTGTCTGTGGCTTAAATACCGACGAAATTGTGCTCTCCTACTATCTCGGCAATTCGTTGGTCGCGGATAATAAGCACAGCTTGGAGGAACGTTGCAGAGAAAACGTTGGGCCCTAGTCCTCCCCCTAGGCAGGCAACGGCATGCCATTGCCATCTATGGACATGCATCATCGGATGAGCAAATCCAGAGATCGGTCAGGAGAATACCAGCACTGCCTTGCGTCGTGGATCGAAAACAAATTTAATAACAAATTTAACAATGCGTGCAGTGCAGGTTCGACGGACGGGGCGGGAGCGGGATGGACGGACCTGGATGTTGCGGCGCTGCGTCTCGACCTCCGATCGCTTGTCGAGGTCGGGGACCATGCGGAAGCGGCGGCGGCGGTTCTTGACGAGCGTGCCGACGGCCTCCCGCCACCGGCGCTGCGCGTCCTCCGACGGGTTCTTGGCCGGCACCTCGAACCGCTTGAGGAACTCCATCGACTTGTTCCGAAGGTACGCCATGATCGATCGATCAGTAATGGCTGCCTGGATCGGCTGGCCCGCGAACTGAACTTAGCCTCCTACACCTCTTCCTCCCCTGTCCTATTCGAATTCTTTCAAGCGAAACCAACCAACCACTGTGCGTTAGCGATCACGTCTCCAACTCCATGGCCTTCTCCGTCTCTCTCTCCCCCTCTGATTTGCTTCAGACGCGCGCGTGGAGGGCAGGGCAGGCAATGGTGGTGGATGAGAGCAGAGCAGAGCGCCGGGTAAGTACCGACCCGAACCACCTGCCGGCTGCCGCGGAGTCCGGGTCGCAGGGGAGGGAGGGAGGGAGCTCGCAGCAGCTTTGACGGAATCACAACCGTAACAACCTCTGGTTCCACGCTGAATCTCCGTCCCTGGATAAATATAGTATACTTTGCTATGTTTATTTATTTTATATTTATATATTTATTATAATAATAAATAACTTGGAAGGAAAAAACAACGTGGGGAGTCCGTGCAAGAAATTTTTATCACACACGTCCATATAAATATTGAATCTGTAATAACCCATACCGAGTGTTTTGGAGGCCAAAAGCATTTGATTTTATTGTTCACACGTCTTCCTCCCAACACACCGCCGCCGCCCACCGCCTGCTGCGACCTCTTTTTTTCCCTCCCCACCCTTCGCCGCCATGGCCACGGTCGCCCCCGCCCCAACCTGGCCCAGCCACCTCCTCTATCGCCTGCTCCGGTGGTGACACCTCCACCTCATCGTCATCTCTCCTATCCCCCCACCGCCGGGTCTGCCTACCTCTCCTAAATTTTTCTCTAAGCCCTCCGGAGATGGAGAAGAAGAGAGGGAGAAGAAGAGAAGAGAAGAATCGAGTGTTGGAACACTCGAGCAAGCGTTAGCTTTTTTGTAAATATTTTAATGCACAACAGAGCAAGTCATTAATTTATTGCCATTTTCAATCATAATATTATGATTTTTATTATAAACACTAACTACATCTATATAAGTATCAAAAAGCTATTGAGATATACATTCGATGTATATATTTGTCACACTTATGAGGTGTCGTCGTGTTTGCTCAGCCCCCTGAATCCGTGTGCAAGGGCACCTCCCGCCCATGCTCACTCCTAGCTTTCTCCTATTCAGTCTGTTCCCCGTTCAATGCGGTCGTTGACGTCGAGAACACCGGAGTCAATAGCACCGCCCGAGGAGGAAGCTTCGAGGACTCTACAGCTCATGATTAGCAATTTGGATGGGCTAACGGACTTTATGTGTTTCCTAAAATAGAGTGGCTAGCACCCCGAACGTCCGGACGCTAGCCCCCGTTCAGACGCAGCCCCGACGCCCGCACTCACGTCGCATCAGACGCCCCCGTGCTCACATCAAATCCCGCGCCAACGATCGCGTCTGGCCGCCTGCGACCCATTCCACGCCAGTGACCGAGTCCGGCCACCCACGATCCATCCCGCCTCGATCCCATCCCGGCTGCGCCCCAGCGACAAGTCCGCCATGCTCCTCCCCCGCTGTGGCGCCATCCCCAACTGCGCCCCGTGCTCTGTCTCGGCCGCGCCCCTTCCCCCGTACTAACGTCTCATCTCTGTGACATCTGTCTGACTGTTGCAACATATGCAGTATACTCTTGAAACATACATGTATAGTAATTGCAACATCCAGATGAAACATGCGCCTGAAACAGCTGAAACATTTGGAACACACATTTACACGTCTAAAACAACTTAAACATGTGGAACATACACTTGAAACATGTGTGTGTAGCCATTACAACATATATGCAACACCAGATCCTTTTGTAATATCCAGATGAAACACATGGAACATACAGATGAAACACATAAAACATACAGATGAAACACATGAAACATACATTTGAAATGCGTGAAACATACGGTTGCAAAAGGCTCGTCGACGAGCTCGACGCAGCGATGCGGAGTTCGATGCCATGGAGTGACGCGGAGGTTGCCGGTGCGAAGCTCATCGATGGCACATGCCTCGGCAGTGGCCGCAGCAGGCGGATGGGCACGTGGCCGCGGCGGGCGGCACTAGTCCAAGTGGGAGGCGCGATTCCCAGCGCGAGGTGCGGTGGAGGCGACGAATCCGCTTCGGCATGGCGCACGACGAGCGGGGCGGGCGATAGGAGGGAACAAGCGTCGCGGGCGGGGCGCGCGTCACGGGCAGGAGCGAGCGGGAGCAGCGAGGTGGAGTGGGGCGCGCGGCGTCTGAACGGTCGGACCCCCGCGTCTAAGCATTAGCGTTCCTAAAATCATTCTCTATATTATATTATGTAACCTAGCTCAAAGAAACAAAGAGCATGGTTTAAAAAATATGAAACTATTTTCAATTTTTTAAGTTAAAATAAAATTTATATGGATTTTTAATATTCAATTAGATTTTTAGTATTTTTAACTGCATATTTATCTAGAAAAATATTAGAGCATTTTTTTATATATATATATTTTTTATATTATAGTTGACGTTCAGTATAAGCCCTTGCCAATAGATGTTAGCTTTAACATGATCGATCGTAGTATGACCCGTGGCAGTAAAGCTCCGGTTGGTTTTAGCTCCTTGCAGGGGAGCCTCGCAGCAGCAGCTACTCCTTATAGAACTCTATGCCGGCTTTTACTCTCTCCTATTCTCCTCCTAGAAACCGGCAAAGTCACTATTTGTAGCTTCTTCTCCTCCTAGAAACTGGTAAAACCACTATTTCTAGCTTCACTGGCTCTAGGAGCCATGACCGTCTGAATCATCTCCCCTGACTACAGCAGACCGTCTCCCAAGAATGACTACAGTTGGCAAAAAAATTTGGTTTTGGATAGATCCCAAGTAATTAGTGTCTAATTATGGACTAATTAGGTTCGAAAGTTTGTCTCGCGATTTCTCTCCAACTCTTAGTTTTTTTTTTTCGCTTCTCACATTTAGTACGGACTCTATGCATTTACATTGGCATTTTTTGGGTTTTGGGTGGAACTAAACAGGGCCTAAAATCTCTGATCGATCATTGTAACTCTACATTGCATTTTAATACTCGACCTGCAGGGGGTAAGCCACCCCGAACATTGCTGTAAAAGAAAAGACCATTACTGTAAGAGAGAAGACCTTCACAGGCCGAGAAAACTCCTGAGCCCCAACCTCACACATTTTGAAACAAGCCAGGCGCGAGAGCTGGGATCCAGAACTGTAGATCACAAAATAAGATTACATACATGCAGAATGCAGGCTGTAGCTCTCTAAATATAAAATTCAATCATCACCATGACGAAAAATATATACCGACTGAATCTGTAGCTCTCTAAATATAAATTCAACCATAAACATAACAGAAAAATAAATACTGATTGAACCAATCACTACACCTTTCTTCAGACATGAGCTGAGCATCAAGCGCAATGAAAGCAGAGGAGATACGACCCTGAAGCCTTCCACCACCAAAGAACGGGCAAAAGGATGTTCCACCCATGAAAAGATATTACATTCACCGATCACCCACCTACACTTGAAACACAAACCACTCAACCAGGTCACCGAACTGTACAGCTCTTCCGCAGGTGCCTTCTTCAGCATCCCAATAATCGACCAGGTCGCGGTGTTCTTGCAGTTCAGTGGTTCATTACACATGCCCAGAAAAGATAGTTCCTCCTCCAAAGTAACAGTATACTGATTTGGTATCTCCATCTTGGCCTTGGAGCATACAAGCATCCAATTTTTTAGCATCAGCAGTTCAGCACCACAATGCTCCAGAGTATCCTCGTATCTCTCCGCATTCTGAAAAACAGAAGGCACCTTTTAGTCTCCACAACTCTGGCATGGTGGTAGAACAAACTAAACGGGAATAACAATGTCTTTTATCTAAAGCAATCACTTATTAACAGACTTAGATTTCACACCAAGCTCACAAGCTCATTGTCACAGATTTCAGAAATGACAGCCCAAGCGTTCCCAGCAAAATTTACCTTTTCTTAGCACTTTGGTGTCAGTTGTCAGTACAAAAAAAATGATATATATATCTGAATGAAGCGCAACCAGATTACATCTTGGAGATAGCAAAAATAAATTACACTGTATAAGCCTATTGCCTTGACACTTTCATCTAAACCAACCTTGATTTTCACTGGGACTCGGAGTTTCTGAAGTTAGAACAAAGCTGCATGCTTTCTTCATGCATGCTTGAACATCTTCATGCTAAGCCAGTGCAGATAGACAGCCACAATTATTACAGGAAGCGTCAATGGCACAAGTAGACAGTAATACCTGTGAATTACGAAGCAGGCCAGTTAGGTAAAATCGTATATCAATTGCACATGCTAAGCTATTGCATGAAACTCACTCTTTCAAGGGAAACAACAACAGAACATCCATGAAAAGGCATAGCCAAAAAAAAAAAAACTATTAGCTAATCCGATGCACCTAGTTTAGTTCATATTAATAACTAGGGCGCACTGCAATGCGATGCGAGAGAGCTCCGACTCGAACCCGGGACCTTCCGGTCACAGGCGGTAAGATTACCGCTTGCACCAGGCCCGCCCTTCAACAGAACATCCATGACCAACAACAACAACAACAACAAAGCCTTTAAGTCCCAAACAAGTTGGGGTAGGCTATTAGCTAATCCGATGACCATAGCCAAAAAAAAAAAAAACTATTAGCTAATCCGATGCACCTAGTTTAGTTCATATTAATAACTAGCTAGCACAAAAGTGGACAACCTATACTCCAATGTCAATTGCAAAAGAGATATAAGTAAACAGTCATCTGTCTTGGCTTGACGTTCCTTACCAATCGTTTTGGATGGCAGCCAGGAATCGATTTTCATATGGTGGAAGCAGCTTGGACACGATGGCAACGTAGAAGAAACACACGAACAGTGTGATCCCAAAAGCAATGAACGCCGACCCGATCAGCTCATCTCTAAAAAAATGCATCTCTGCACTCCAATCTTTTGGCCTCTGATGTGCAGACCGGCGGACCCAATAAATCCTGAAAAAAAAATCGAAGATAGTAG